TCAAACCCACCAGTTGCTCCTCAGGAGAAAGATGAAGCTGACTGCTTCCTTGAAGATTTACAGTCTCAGAAACCCTTTGCAGGGAGGTTCTGTCTGAGTCAGAATCAACCTGATGGTGGTGGGTTTGGTTTTTTGGGTTTGTATGTAATCTGAAAGTCATTGGGTGGAGCATAGGGTTAACACGCTTGACCGCCAACCTATAGGGTGGGGGCTGGACTCCACCCAGAGGCACCTTGGGAAAAAAGTCCTGGCAATCTACTTAAAACAAAGTCAGCCATTGAAAAGCCTACTGCTCTGACACACATGGGTCAGCATGAGTTGGAATCTACTTGAAAAGTAACTCCCAGAAGCTGACCCATGACAAGAAAACCTGAAGAGCTCGGAGCTTGTTTGCTTTTCCTGCCTCTCACAAGGGCCAGTGGCTGTGGTTCCTCTCAGAGGCTATAGAATCTGACTATGCATTTCTTAGTCAGCATCCCAGCTGACTCCTCTGCCCTCCTCCTGCTGCCAGGATGGTGATGGCCCCGTGGTTCTGTGTGCAGCCTCCTTCCCTCTGTGCCCACTAGTTTAGCCAAGCTTCATTTCCATCCCAGGGCTGGGCTCGGCCCACCTGCCAGAGAGCCTTGGCACATGCACTTGTCATTCTGTTGCTGTCTGTCACTTCCAACCCACAGCGGCCCCACCTGTGTAGAGTGGAACTGCTCCATAGGAGATCCAAGGAGGAGATCTTTCCAAAGCAGATCACTGGGCCTGTCTTTCGGTGAATCTCTGGGTGGGCTCAGAGTGTCGACCCATTAGCTAGTAATGAAGCACTTAACTGCACCACCCAGTCACTGATACTCCCACTGTAGTCTCCCTCATTTCTGTTTATTAACTCCTCATCTGGATTGTAAATCACCTCTTCAGGGAAACCTTGGTGTGTCTGCCCCCTGCCTAGAGATGAGATGCTAGCCCCCACTATGACAGACTCGCCTCAGCAAATGCAGCATGAATCCCAAGAACATGGCCTGAGACCTACATGGTACCCGGTTTTCAATCCAGCTTTGTAACTTTCTAGCCAAGCCACTCCACCTCTCAGGCCCTTTGTTTGTTCTGTAAAATGGGTGCAACAGTAGCACCTACACTGAGGATGTTTCTTGACAAAGCGCCGGGCCCATAGCTCTGTAGAAGTGTGTGTCCCTTTTCCTAAGCGTTAGGGTTTTACTGTAGTTGGGTAATGGCTTGATGAGCAAGGCCTTCCCATCAGACTGGTTGTTCTGAGAGAGCACAGGCGCTGTGACAAGGCGGACACACTCAGCAAAGGCCTGAGGGGTGGGGGGGTGGGGGAGGTACTCTGAGCTCAGTCGAACCACTCGGTGTCCGTGGCTCACATTGGGAACTTTGAATGGAGGCCACACGAGGCCTCCATCTGTTGAAACCACCCCTCCACGCCTCCCACCCCAGAGATACTGGTCTAAGTCAGGTAGGAGGTATGGAAATAGAGTAGAAAAACTATAGCAGCATTCCAAGTACTGCCACTCCACTGGCAGGTCACTGGTTGCTTGGAGTGGTCCACAGGCACTTTTCACTCTCCTTCCCTAGAGCTCAGTGCTCCTGGGACCCCCAGGGTCAGGAGATGCCCCTTCATCTTCAAGGAGGGTGTGTGGTGGGGGTGGGTGGCCTGTTGCTGGGCTCCCATTCTGTCTGACATCAGGTGTGGGCCTGGGAAGAAGACTGTGGTGTGGTGTTCCCCCTTAGCACCTGCTCCGGGCTCTGCCGGGACTCCCCCTGCTTCCAATCAGGCCTGTTGTTGTTAAGTGCCGTCGAGTCAGGCCTAGTCGCTACGTATTTCCAAATAGGCCTTTCCCTGGCACATGTGTGACCCTGAGTGTGGGGTCTGTGCAAGCCCAGCGCTAAGTGGCTCACTGGCAGTGCTTTGTTTTATCCTTATCTGGAGTTTGAAGAAGAGGGAATGTTACCCTTTTTTTATTACAAGGAAACTGAGGACCAGAGACACAGTGTTTCTTGCCCAAGATCATCCATGATGGTGTTGGTGAATATTAAATATGCCAGAGACTGCTGGAAGAATGAACAAATCTTCGGAGTACAGCTAGAATGCTTTAGAATTGAGGATGGTGAGACTTGTCTCATGTACTTTGGACATGTTATCAGGAGGAGCCAGTCCCAGAGGAGGACATCATACTTGGTACTGGGAGGGTCAGCGAAGAGAGAAAGACCCACAAATAAATGGATATGACACAATTCTTGGGTTCAAAAAGAGCAATAATTGTGAGAACAGCATAGGCCAGACAGCATTTCTTTCTGTTGTACATAGTGTCGCTGCAAGTTGGAATTAACTCCATGGCACCTAACAACATATGTGATTATGTTGTTGAGCTTTTTACCCCGTTTAATCTATTTTAACAGCAGGAGCTGGGTTCTGATAAGTCCATCCTACAGAGAAGGAATCTGAGGCTCAAATAGGTAGTCATTTAGTCAGAAACAGAACAAGTGAGCCAAGGAGCTGGGATTCAGACCCAGGCCTGTGTCCCTGCAGGTGTGAGCCGTTGGGGTTGCTGTTTCGGCACAAGCTGGCTCTCCCTGAAGACCAGGTGCCTAGATCTTGGCCCAGCAGCACCAGAGCACTGTGAGGACTTGTCCCTCAGGAACTCCCTTCTTGCGTCCTCAAGTCATGGGTTTTGCTGCCCAGTGGCCTCTTTGAGATGCATGCAAGAGCAGAGGGCCTGGGGTCACCAGCCACTTCCTGCCTCAGCCCATCCATGCTGCTGCTCTCTGCTCTTTCAGGCAGCCCAGTGGCATCCTCTTTCTCTGCCCACCCCTGAGGCAGGCCATGCATGGTGCATTACAGAGCTGTGTGAGACATGCCCATGACCAGGGGATGCTGTCAGAAATGCCGGCAATGCAGGGTCCAGAGGAGCACTTGGGGTGGGGTGGCGGTGGGCAGGATTTCAGCAGCCCTAGCAGAGAGGGAGACTCAGGGACACCTGTTGTTGTGTGCTCTGAGCAGTTTTGGTATTGCCATGTGACAGAGAAGGACATGGGTGTTAGGAAGGTTGGCTAACTCGCCTGTTGGCTGGTCTGAATTCAGCCTGTGTGGGGAGGTGGGAGGTCTGAGAAGTGCTGCTGGCCAGTTCATGAGCCCTTCCTTACTTGTTGCAGTTGCAAGTCTAGTGCCATAGCCCCCACCCTCCTAAGATGCCCCAGACCCAGGGAGACAGCAAACAGAAGCCAGCTGTGAGATGCCATTGGAAAACATGCCGTGATTCCCTGATTCCCGTGAGAAGTCGGCATCTTGGAGGAGGTGTGCTCAGGCCTGGCTTGGGGGGAGAGTGAGTGCTGGCTACACAGAGAGGCAGAGGCAGGACACAGGTATCAGTCACAGCATCACTCAAGGGGAGAAAGAGTCTGTGTTTCCCAGGCAGAAGGACTCCCCATGTTGGGTAAGGGGGCAGGCTGGTGGTGGTCTGAATCTCGCCAACTATGGTTGCTCCCATTCGTGTTTGGGGGAAACCTCAGCCGGGCCACAGGACTCCTGCCTCGTGTTAATTAGGCGGCCTCTTTGTCTGGGAGGAGGTGCCTCGTGCTGAGCCTCTCTCTGAGTGAACAGGACTGGCAACAGTTGTCAAAACAAACAGTGTTTGGCCAGGGACTCCTTGGAAGCCCCTTTTCCTCCCCACAGCCGTGCGTGCTCTGGGCATGGAGTGTATGTTCAGTTGCAGCTGGCTTCCTGCCCACCTCTACACTGGGCCCTACAGACTGTGGGGTAAAGGGTGGGGGTGGGGCACAGGGGATCCTAAAAGGCACAGAAGTCTTGGGGTTTTTCCCAAGCCTTGCTGCTGAGTTAACTGATTGGATGCCACAGTGCTGATGTTTAATAGCATGCTCCAGCTAGCAGGGGGCTAATTGGCTAGGTACCCCTATGAAGTTGAGTGTGCCTGCTCGTCCCTCATTGGTGTCTCTGGGCTTGGGGCATAGACTTCTTGTTCCTGACTCTCCCTGTCAGGAAATGCCCTTTCGCTTTGTGGTCCTCAGAAGCCTCCTCCTCAGATGTAACGTGGGGTGGGTGAGAGGGTGGTATATGCCATGTCTCCCTCCCAAGAGCCTTTTCAGAGAGATGCAGCTAAAGGAAGCCTCATGAGCCTCCAGGGCTGGTTGGGTTTGGGGTGTTCTCCAGGGAGCAGAGAGGTCAAGGGTCTCAGGCCTGAAGGAAGCCCGACTCTGTGGTGCGTGCCCTGGATTTTGGGGTCTGGGGTGCTGCTCTTTCAGAGGAGGTATTTGCTGTTGAGCCCACCAAAGTTTGAGGAGAGGCCAAAGGAGACGGGTTCCACGTGGAATCTTTAAGAGGCTTGTATTTCCCACTGCTTCCTGCCCCAGACCATCTCCACCAGTAATAGAAACTGGCTGCCTTAGAGGAGGGACAGCGGGTACAGGAAGCCAGTGCCACAGAGTTCAGTGGTCTTTGGAGTTGAGGAGGGTTCCATGTGTCAGCCCTCAGGAGCAACAACTCAGGAGAGCAAGGGCCCTTCCTAGCCGTCTCCCCCACCCACTGGTTCCTCCGGTGTGAATGAATGAATGAGCAAATGACTGGCGTCTTTGGTGCTTGTGATGGGCTCACTGAAGGTAGCTGCCCAGGCACTTTGGTGGTTCACTCCAGTGAGGGGGCAGTCTGCTTCTGTACAGATTTAATCTTGAAAACCCACCCTCTGGGTTCAACAGTAGTGGGTTTGGAAGACTTTGTGGTGTTGGGGAAAGAGCACTTACTGTGAAGGCTGGCAAACTTGGGTTCAAATTCAAGCCCGTCACATGGTTGCTGGTGATCAGGTAGTGGGTTTCTTCACCCCCTGAGCCTCAGTATCCACCTTTCTGGGGGTACTGTGACGGTCAGAAATAATGTATCCCAAATGGGAGGGTCGGGGCTGTGGCTGACACTCTGGTAGGTGGCCGGGGGACCCTGACTGCCTTGGTGACTCTCCACGCCGTCCTCTGCTCTGCTTCCCCAGACCTTCACAGCCTGGTGCAACTCCCACCTGCGCAAGGCGGGCACACAGATCGAGAACATCGATGAAGACTTCCGTGACGGCCTCAAGCTCATGCTTCTCCTGGAAGTCATTTCAGGTGAGGCTCCTCACCACCGCTCCATCCTGGCAGGTCCCCCGAGATGCTGTCCCCTAGCCCTAACGTCCTGGTGAGACCCTTCACAGCTGCAGGAGCAGAGAGCCTGGGCGTGCCAGTTCTGGAGAGCACCAGCATCTCTGACGTTGCTTTCTCTTTTGCCCTCTTTCTCTGCATCGCTCTCAGGGGAGCGGTTACCTAAACCGGAGCGCGGCAAGATGAGAGTGCACAAAATCAACAATGTGAACAAAGCTCTGGACTTCATTGCCAGCAAGGGAGTCAAGCTGGTCTCTATCGGAGCGGAAGGTGAGCACCAGATGGGACAGCCAGGGTCCAGCCCCGTTCTTGACCTTTGGGCTCAGAGGCACAGCCTCACTTTCCGAACAGAAGAAGTGGTGTTGGAGGCAGCATGCTTGGGACATGTTGTTAAGTGCTGAGGCTGTAAGTTTACGGGAGTAGAAAGCCTCATCTTTCTCCTGCAGAGCGGCTGATGCGCTCCAGCCACCGACTGCAGAGGGAGGTGCCCTCACCCTGCCTTCCTTGTGCTGGGCCCCAGGAGATAAAACAGATATATGACATGACCTTCCCCTCTGCCAGGAGCATCTTTGTCATATGTCTTGGTGTTTGTGAAGGAGCCCTGATGGCACTGTGAGCCAAGCATTGGGCTGCTAATCACACGGTCAGTGGTTCAAACCCACCAGCCACTCCTCGGGAGAAAGGTGAATTTGTCTGGTCCCGTAGAGATGGACAGTCTGGGAAACACTAAGAACCAGAACTTCTCTGTTCTCTGGTGTCCCAGTGAGTCGGAATCAATTTGATGACAGTGAGAAGCATTCTGCAGTGTTGGACTGCTAACCCAAAGGTTGATAGTTCAAATCCACGAGTCCTTCTGTGGGAGATGGCTTCCATAAAGAGTGTCAGCCTCGGAAACCCCACAGGGTAGGCCTTCTGTAGAGCTGCCAGGGGTTGGAGTTAATGTGACCATAGTGGCTTTGGTTTGCGTTTTGTTTGGTGTTTGCAGGTAGGAGAAACTGCGGGAAGGCAGGGGAATGGAGGCCTCTACGGGCACCCCAGCCTTTCCACGGGAATGTCAGCCTGCCATTCCTCCAGCAGCAGGCCCTTGACAGGGTCCCCAGGGTTGAGCTCACAGGCGCTTCTGGAGATGAGGCGAGGCGAGGCCTGATGGAGCCCAGAAGCTTGCTGTTGTCCCGGCTCACAGTTGTGCTCATTAGTCAGAACAGATTTCCTATGCCCCGCCATCCACAATGTCCCGGCTTGTAGAAAAACAAAGAAAATTAATAGCCGTTAATGACAGCCTGTGAGACAAGGGCCAAGATTCTGAGCCAGGATGTGTGTCCCGAGCTCTGAGGTTCTGCCCCAGCCCAGACCTTTCCCAGGATGTGTGTCCCGAGCTCTGAGGTTCTGCCCCGGCCCAGACCTTTCCCAGGAGGTGGCTGAGGCTCGCATGCCGTAGATGAGGTGGGTGGTGTTTGGTGTCTCTTTAAAAAACAAACAACGAAACCCAAAATCTAATCAGGTGCTGGGATTTTCTGTCCGTGAGTGGATCTGTCCTCCTCCTGCTTCTCACAGCTGCATGTACTTTGCCCTAATGCTCGTCTGAAGGCACAGAACGGGCTGGAGGAGAGACCCATGGTGGTCATCCATTTTCATCTAGGGAAAAACTCAATCTAAAAATACGTGGTGCTTATGTCCAACTTGGTTTACTTCCATCAGTGGTCATTGGATCTGAGTACAAAGTCAGAGGAGGACAGCCTACTGGGCCTTCTTTAGAGAGGGACAAAGAAGCACAGGCTTGCAGAATGAGAAGGAGCGAGACCGGGAGGGGGCTTTCTGGATACGAAGAAGGGGTGAGGACCTGAAAGCTGGAAAGATCTTGCTTGGCTTGTTTGGGAAGTTGAAAGAAGCTGTCTAGAGAAGCTTGGGAGCAGAGGGTCAGGTCCCTGAGGGTAAGCCTTGTGGACTGGGCTAAGGGACACGGGCTCTGTTTAAGGCTGCAAGGAGCTTTAAGTAGGGCAGTGACTGTCCCAACCACTGTGGAGAGAGGGGGCTGTAGGGGTCTGCAGGAGCTGTGCTGTGGTGGTAACTTGGGCCAGGGTAGTGGTTGTGGGGTTGGAAGGAAGTGGACAGAGTCTCAGCAAACAGAGGGGCATGCTAGCCCGACACCTGGGACCAGCCAGCATGGAGGGGCAGCCTTTTGAGTTGGCTCCTAAAAAATGGGCTGGCAGGGAAAAGGTACACGTCACATGTTCGCCGCCCCCTCCCCTCCCCCAACCCCAAAGGCTGCAGTGGTGGAACAACACTGTCCACAGCGTTTCAGGGGACATGACTGCATTGCCTCCAGTGAGCGGGGTGGAGTTGGTGTCTGGATATGACTGCAGAGCTCCCACTCTGGTTTTAACCTTCTCCTCACGCCCCCTTCCTCGTGTGCAGAGATTGTGGATGGCAATGCAAAGATGACGCTGGGAATGATCTGGACCATCATTCTCCGGTTCGCCATCCAGGACATCTCAGTGGAAGGTAAGAGGCCAGCCCTTTGCTCGCTCACTGGAGCCTTAGATGAGTTTCTTTTGTCACAGCAGTGATTAGGGGTGGATACAGGCTCCCAAGCCCAGTGGCCAACTCCTAGCACATCCGTCCCCCTGGCCTTCATCTCAGTGGATCCCACACCCCTCTTTGTGGAAAAGGCACTCCCTTCACACTCTAAGAGCCTGAGTCACTCAGCATACCAGTGACAGGCAGGCCTGGGCCTGGCTTCCTGAGTGTCAGCACCCCCATCTTTCTACCAGACACCCCACTCTCAAACCTTTGCCGCCTTGGACCTGCTGTCAGCTCTAGGCACCCAGGAATTGAGCTGCTTTTTTTTCTGTAAGCTCTCGTGCACCACAGGATGTGTAAAACGACTCGGCCCAGCCCATGGAGCGACTCCTGGTCTGGGTGCCAGGTCACAGTGGTGACAAACATGTCCCTAGCCTCACAGGGCTCTGTCGACAGCAGATAGTGGGGCCAGAAATGGGGCCCAGAACTGGTGGCCACAGCTCAGTCTTAGCCGGTTCTGAGAGGCACAGGCTTTGTCATCAAGAGCATGACACAGGTTTGCATCCTGACACTGCCGCCATTCAGTGGGCGATGGCCCTGGGTAGGTGGTCGGTCAGTGCGTGGTGGCAGTTAGAACCTGCAGTAGCTGTGGTTATTCCTATGATTGCTGCTGGCTATGTTTTCTCCCCTTGGGTTTTGTTTGAGCCCTAGACTTGAGCCTTAGAGTGTGACCCAGCTTGGGCCAAGTTCTGAAGGTTTCATTTTGAGCCGGAACTCACTGTCCTTGGGTATTTCAGAGACCTCTGCCAAGGAAGGCCTTCTCCTCTGGTGCCAGAGAAAGACGGCTCCGTACAAGAATGTCAACGTGCAGAACTTCCACATCAGGTGAGTGGACGGCTGCAGCCGCGGTGCCCTCACTCTCCACCAGCACTGAGAAGCTGTCCATCCACCTGCCCCCGTGAGTCCTTCTCGTACCTTCAGCCTTCATGTGCCTCTTGGCCCATGCATCTCTTGATCCTCTCAGAGGGAGGAGGAAGAGGTTGCCCAGTTGTCCTGGCCTGAAGGCACTACAACCTGCCACTCCAGTAGGCCCCATAGGATCTGCCTGCTTCCCAAGCAAGGCCATTCTCAGAGTTTTATCATCTCAAGATGAACCAGTCATTAGACTTGACAGTGAATTCAGTGTTGGGGATTTAGCGTCTGTGGACACCAAGTTCAACACTCTGAGTATGCTCTCACTTGGGGCAAGAAAGGGAAATGAGGGATGTCCATTGACCCACACACACACATGCAGTGGAGGTGGTCAGGAGCACAGGTGTGGCCCCTTGACTTCACCCCTCGGAGCCTTTGTTCTCCTCCTGGCTTGGACCAGGAGTGGGGCACCCATAGGCATCAGGGTGAGCAGCCTTTGGGGTGTATGTGCTCCTACCACGTCCCCAGGCTTTCTGTAGCCATGATGCTGGAGGCCCAGGACCCGTTCCTGGGTCTGCCGATCATAGCACACAGCCCTCCGTGGACCTCTCATCCCTCTCCTCTTCTGGGCACCACCTAGCTGATCTCTCTTCATGTCTTGTCCACTTGTTTCTTCAGTTTAGTTACGTATCTTGTATGCCTGCTTTGTGCCACCAGTGGGGAGACAGAGGTACAGAGGCAAAGCTCCAGCCTGGGGAAGTCCAGACTGTAATGGGTCCAGTCAGTTAGCAAACTCCTCCAGATAGTGAGGCAGGCTCTACAAAGATGGCAGTCAGGGAGTAACTGGGGAGCTGGTGCCGGCACTCCAGCCACTTCCTTGGTCAGGGTTGGCCTTGCTGAGGGGACACATTGAACTGACCCTGAAGGAACCAACCATCATTTTCCTTATGGGACCCTCAAGCCAGTCTGTGTCCTGGCATTTAGCTGGGCTATAGATGGGCCTCGGTGGGTCAGGTCTGCTCTGGTGCGTGAGGTCACGTGGGCCGCCGGCTAGAGCAGGACCTCATAGCAGCATGCAGAGTCAACACTCCTAACGTGCTTACCACTCGTCAGTCACTCATTCCTCACAGCGACAGGAGACTGAGTGATCTACCGGTAGTCAACCCCAGCCAGCATGCTCACTGCCACAGTGCCGGGTTACTCCACTCCATCGCCCAGGGCCATCAGCACACCGTGAGGGTGAAATGCCCCCAATAACCACTGCCTTTCCATCCCCAGCTGGAAGGATGGCCTGGCCTTCAATGCCCTGATCCACCGGCACAGACCAGAGCTGATTGAGTATGACAAGCTGAGAAAGGTACGCGTCTTGATGGCCCACAGACAGCCTGAGTCTGCTTTGTAACTTACTCACCTCCCCCAAACTCATCTGTCACCGGCCTCCTAAGCAAGATTGAGTCTGTGCTCAGAAAACTGGCTAGGATCCCAGGCCTGGTAGCAGACCCTCGTTGACCGCCCCCTTCTTCCTGCACGGCTATTGCAGCCAGCCATGCCATTTAGTTCCTTTTCCCCATCCTCCTGGATTCTGGAAGCACTCCCTCTGCCCAGACTGGAGCAAGGGTCCCCAACTGTCATCATCAGCAGACACTCCCTGTGCAGAGTCCTTGGGATTTGCCTGTAAGGCCTAGTCCTGGCCTATAGGAGATCACATCCCATTAGGGCGAGGAGACAAGATAGCTGTATAAAAAGGAACCCAGTCTTGCCCAAGCCCCGTTCCTGGATGCTCAGGCTGGATACGGCAGGACGGGGATAGGCAGACGTGCCTCAGGGGAAGGAGGAGTGCTCTGAACAGGCCTGCTCACTGGTCTGGAGGAGGAGGCATGGGCCTCTCTCTAGAAGGTCTGGCTGAAGTGGACTTTGATCTCCCATAAGCCGTGGGGAGCCAGTGAGAGGTCTGGAACTAAGGGGAGCCCCGTGTGAAGGGTCTCCTAGAAGGTGGTAGTAACTCGGGGGGGCCAGCAGCTTGCTCTCCTCACCGTCCTGCACCCTCACCATCCTTCGGGTCAGGACTACACCTTCCAGTGGACATTAGGGCTTGGGTTTTAGGGCAGGAAGTACTTATCTGGGGTCAGGGATGGCTGAACATTATAAGGAAAATAGTACGCTTGCATTTGTCTACCCTCCCGCCCCCACCCCCAAGGGTTTTAAGAGGTGCATCTATGAGTAGGACTCGGATTCATTCATCCAGGTGCCTCCTCCTCCCCACCTCAGCTTCCTCCCTTCCCCAGCAGCCCTTGTTCCCCTTCTGCACCCTGCCCCTCACAGAATTCTTCCTACTTCTGACACCTCCCTCCCTCAGGATGACCCCGTCACCAACCTGAACAATGCCTTTGAAGTGGCTGAGAAATACTTAGACATCCCCAAGATGTTGGATGCAGAGGGTAAGTGCCTCCTTTTGGTCAGGCGGCTTCAGGTTTCCTGGTGCCTCATCTGGCCCAGCCTGGCTTTGGGCCTACGTCTCAGTGGTGGACTAGCCTCGAGGTACTGGCAAGACCACCAGCTACAAGAGGGGCTGTGTGAAACCGAGCAAAGTGGGGATAATTGTGTTCCCTGAGGGCCAGAGCAGGAGCTGCCTGAGTAGACTGGAGAAGAGCTGGGAAGGGAGAGTTTGAAGCTCAGCTCGGGGGGCATGGCACCTTGGGCCCAGGGTCCTGCCTGACCAGGCCCCTCCCTGCCTAGGGAAGCAGTGAACTGGCTGGGGAAGGCTGGCTCCACGCCGCCTTCGAATCACCACGGGCCGCTCCCCTCCCTGCTCGGAGCCTGGAGTATTTTGTTTTTTCCTGTTGTGGCTTTGCTCCGTTTCCCAGCCAGGATGGATGCCTCTGGCCTCTGGTGGCCCCTGGAGTTGACTGTCCGGCATCCCCTAGAGGCCTTGCTCAGAGGAGGAAGTGGCTTCATCTCACCCGGTTCCCACAGCCCTGGCCTGTCTAGAGCCCATGGGGAGGGTGGGGCTAAAGGTGTGGCCTAGCCCACCCAGGTGGCCAGGTGGCCCTGTAGCAGCTCTGAGGGTCCTTCTTCTGGCCAGTTGTGGCCTTAAGAGCCTGTGGCCCTTCTAGAGCAGCCCCCACCCACTAGCCTGGGCGGTTTAACCCTTGTTGTTGACTTGCAGACATCGTGAACACGGCCCGGCCCGACGAGAAGGCCATAATGACCTATGTGTCCAGCTTCTACCATGCCTTTTCGGGAGCGCAGAAGGTACCGGGCAGGGCCAGGCAGGCCCACCTTGCCGCCACTGCCCAATGCCACTGCTACCTCTCGCCTCCCATGCTCACCTCATTTCTTTTGCAGACGGCAGTGGCCTCTCTCTGACTGGAAGCCACCCCCCGATGCCTTAGCACTGCTGCTCATTCATTCAGTCTTTGCTCCCAATTCACAAACTCCATCGAGTGCTTCCTCTATGCCAGGCCCCAGTCTAGGCACTGAGGCAACAGCATTGGTCTGGTCAGACAAGGTCTCTGCTTACATGGAGCGGAGCTTCTAGTGGGAAAGAAAATCATCTCCTGCTAGGCCCTGGAGAGGGCATGGGGGCATCAGGGAAGGCCTCTAAGTGGAAGTTGCCAGGGGAGATTTGTGGGGAAAGTGTTCCCTGCACACATCCACATGGCTTCCTCAGGATAGATCTGTAGGGGAGGGAGCCAGGAGGAGGAGGGTGAGAAGAGACCTGGAGAGAACCAGGGGCCAAACTGCTGAGCTTTGGCAGCTTGGGATAGGGCCATGGGAGGCTGGTCAGAGGCGTGGTTCTATGCAAAAGTGGTAGGTGGTCGCATATGACTTCATGTCACATTTTCTCAACAATCACTTAGCATTTTGACTTTCCTTCTGGCTCCTAGCAAGGCCGCGTTACAGAGCCAGTGGCTTGTCATACCTGGTTCGACAAGGAAGCCACCTCTTCTGGACATCCATTCTCCCCCGTAGAAAACCTCACTGAGACGTTGTCCGATGTGCACAGGCCCCGAGCGGGATTTGGCTTCCAGTCCAGAGCAAGCGCTATTCCTCCCGCATGAGCCCAGGACCCCGGCCGCCCTCACTGCATCTTTCACTCTCTTTGCCTTTCTCTCTCTTTCTCTCTCTCTCTGTGCAGATATTGTAGGCACTCTGAGGCCAGACGAGAAAGCCATCATGACTTATGTGTCCTGCTTCTACCACGCTTTCTCGGGGGCTCAAAAGGTGAGCGAGGGTGGGAGACCCCTTGCTGCTGTAGCTGGAGAGTCACCCTCAAGTCAGCGTCTCCTCCCGTCTGTGTCTGGCGTGGGGCGACTGCGGCATGCAGAAAGACCCTGCCAGCCTTCTGACTTGGGAGGGCCACCGAGGGCAGGTGTCCGGTGATTGTGCTGAGACGCGGCAGATACGCCCCCTTTTACACAGTGAGGGGCATGGTCCCACTTTGCTAGACAAGGACATGGCAGACCACTGTCTCGTTAACTGCGCTGGGATTCCAACCCATGTTTGGCCAGCCCTGCGCACATGATTGCTCACTACACTGCTCTTTCCCACAGGGCAGGGCCTTCCACCCACTACACCAACCTTTCTGTGCCCCATCCAATTTTTTCCCTTGCAGACCCCCAGAACGGGCTTCACTCCTGCTGGCTCTGGTTTCCGGCCCTGCCCTTTCCAGGAGCCCTCAGTGTTCACTCCCAGTGACGGCCCTCCCCAGACCCTCCCCAAGCTTGTCTCTCCACCTGTTGTTGTCACTCCCACTGGGGCCCTCCGGGCCCTCTGACGGTGGCCTGGGCAGTACCGGATTCCCAGGGACTTGATTTTCTCACCAGCTATCAAGTAGGGAGAGAGAATAGATTAGCACCCTTTTCCTGGGCTAGGCGCTGTTCCAAGTGCTGTAGTGCACAGACTCGAGAGTCTTCGTGCGCCACCCGGGGAGCTGAGTGCAGCTGTCTCACCCCACAGATGGGGAGTGTGTTCAGAGATCTTAAAAGTTACAGCTGCCCAGGCCCAGCGGAAGTGTGTCTCTGGGCATGTCTCTGTACCCCCGGCCCTATCCTAAAGTGGGGATCATACTAGGGGCCAGCACACAGGAGTTTTCTGAGAATGAAACGAGCTCAGTGTAGTGCCCGACAGACCTACGAGAACTGCCCTTTAGGGGTTTCCAGACTGTCACTCTTTACAGGAGAGGGCCGCCTCATCTTTCTCCTGCAGAGCAGCTGGTGGGTTTGAACTGAATCACTGACCTTGTGCTTAACTCACGGCAATACCAGGACTTCTTAACAGAGACGTCAGTGTTCTGTAAGCTGGCGGCAGTCACAGTAGGCAGCCTGTAGGAGGTGACCCTCCTGAACCAGTGGGCACATCTATCTGTATGTGCTGGCTTGTCACCCACCTACCCAGCATGTGGCTGGAGCGCTGTGTTGAGGGCACAGGTATGGGGTGTGGGAGACCCGCTACCCTCGTGGAAAGGCAGGAAGATCCCTCAGCACATACCCAGCTAGCAGCATGTGAGCCACAAGATTCACTCAAGCCAGCTCCTGCCACCCATCACCCTTGCTGAACAGAGTTCTCCCCAAACTGCGCTCCTGTGCTTATGGCTGGGCCCTGGCGTGGCGGCAGAGGGGAGGCCTCCAGGGTACTGGGGGCAGGTTTTTGAGGAGGCTAAGCCCAGAAAGCTGGCCGGCAGCCTGCTCTGTGAGAGCAAGTCCAGACCAGGCTGTGGGGTGCAGCTCCAGCCCCTCAGGCCCGTGCCACTTGGGAGTTATCTTGTAATGCATCGAACAAGGGGCTCCAAAGTCATGAGGAAGATTCCACCGGTGCTTTAAGGCCCTGCCTTATTTCCATTGCTATCCTTTCCTAGAAACTTAGTCTTTTCAAGGAACCTTCTGTGGGCTTGTTTTCCAGTCACAGATTGCACCCCCCAGGCCTAGCACAGAATCTGCCCCTTACTTCCTCAGTCTGGTCCCTGAGACAGCCAACCCCTTGTTCCTTTGTGCACTTACTTGTTCATCCCCATCCCCACCCCCCTGAGTACCCCCCTCCAGCTCCGCCAGTGTAGGGAACAGGACTGAGATCAGCGGCGCCCCCTCCAGCTGCAACCCTGGCCGTGCTTCCTTCACTGACGGGGGGCATGTTCATCGGCTGTGGCTCTCTCCTGCCCCTCCCTCTGAGGAGCAATGTCCTGCAGCATGACATTGTGTGTGTGTGTGTGTGTGCACGCACGTGCACAGACCTGGCCTGGACCCACTCCCGCCACGCCTTCCGGGCATGCAGTGTGGATGAGAGAGGCTGGCATTGGCGCCTGTAGTAGCCGGGTCTGGAGCGTCTCCCGAGCCCGCTCTGTTTTCCTCCCCATCACTCTGTAGACCCTCCTCACTATTTCTGTTCCTGTTCTGTTGCCGTTTCAACTCCTCCTCTTGGACCCTTTCTGTGCTTCCTGAAAGGTACCTGGTCTCTCCCCTCGCAGTGTGGCACCCTCACCCCCTTCCTCCTCTGCACCTCCTCCAAGTCCTGCAGGGCCTTCTCCCGGGACAGAAACACAGATGGTGGTTCTGCCCACATGAACTTTTGTCGACAAGAGGGGCCAAGTGCACTCTGCGTGTACACTGGCCGCCCCCTCCACCATGCCCCACCTAGCTCATAGCCGCCTGCAGCCCGGTTCTGTAGGGTGTTAGCCTGGCACCGAGGACCCCATTCAGCCTCACCCAGCCCTCCTTTTTGTGGGGCACTAGGCGGCTTGTCGATCCACTTCCCCAGCACTTCCGGGGTCAGGGGCAGCTTTCTCAGGAGCCCAGTGAGGCCTGTCAGAACTTGCTTCCTCTCCTTGCTCCCTCTGGGGAGTTCTTGTGTGGGCTATGACAGAGCCAGCTTTCAAGGGACATGCCTGTTGGGAGGGAGGGTCTCCAGCCCCCAGGCAACCTGACTCTGTGCTCCACCCCCTAGGCCGAGACTGCCGCCAACCGGATCTGCAAGGTGCTGGCGGTCAATCAGGAGAATGAACACCTGATGGAGGACTATGAGAGACTGGCCAGTGATGTAAGTGCCCTGCCCCCCCTACCCGAGGTGGGCCCTCAGGTCCCCTCAGTGACCCTTGGCCCAGGGCCCCTGTGGCAGCTGCAGTGGGTGAGCAGGTGTGGCAGCAGGGCCTGGCAGAGTTTTAGGACTTTAGAGGGGGAGCAGCCAGCACACAGGACTTTGGAGGGGGAGCAGCCAGCACACAGCCTTCAGGCTGATTCACTGCACGCCAGCTGGCAGCTCAAGCTGGGTTCTTACTCAAGGCAGAGTTGCCTGATCACCCCAGTTCTTTAGCATCCTTCGGGGCAAGTTCTGAACACGTCCATTCCCACGCCCTAGCCCTGGAGAGGGCACTGAGAACTAGTGCCATGACAGATGTGGCCGAGGTTTGTCATGGCATGGCCTACTCAGTCTCTACAACATCCCCATTATACAGGTGAGTAAACTGAGATCCAAAGAGGTCAGGAACCTGCTTGCCATCACAGCTAGTGGTTTGAAGAGCTAGGTGGTTCTACTCTTAAACCTGTACCCGTTCTCGAAGTCTCTCTCTTCTAGAATCTTCTGTTTTTGAATTTTTCATATCTTAAAAGATGAAACAATCGGTATACCTTAAGGACAATAGTTTGAAAACAACTACTCTAGACCAGTGGGCCTCAGACTCTGCGATTTCACAGACTAGAAAAATTTGAGAAAATATCTAACAGCTAAGCTAGGGCTGCCAACTTTCTATCATGCCATGTTAAGGATGCTAAGAAAGAAAAAGCTATCACTATTTCCACCATTGGAGTACTGGTGTGGTACTGTAGGATAAGCTAATCACAAAGTCGGTGGTTCAAACCCACCAGCCGCTCCTTGGAAAGCCCTGTACAGGGTCACTGTGGGTCAGAACTGAGTCGATAGACTTAACAGCATTATTGCTACTAGTGATAATGTGAGAAAAAGGGAAAAGACAACCCCCCCCCCCCCGAGAAAAGACGATTGGCGCCACATCAAGACATAGGTCTACACAAGGACCTTTGTCCCAGGCTTTCTCACTTTGGGAGAGATAGGCCTTTGGGAACCACATCTCTAAGCATCTCTGTGCTGGAAAATTGCTGGTGTGCATGTCCTGAAATTGTTTTAAAATGTCCAGGCTGCTTGCTTGTTTACACCTCTACCTTACTCCATCAGAGGTTTGATTGACTTGGATCATCAGTGCCTGTTAAGTTTTGTCTTCTCACTCTTTATGCCCCTGGACCTCCCCAAGGGAGGCGAGTGCAGGCTCCCAGCTGGTGGGGCTCCAGGTTGTGTGAGGGCTGGGGAGGCCTTCTGGGGGACACTTGAGTGAGGAGAAGGAGGACCAGGAGCAAAGGCACTAGAGGAAGTGATCAGTGTCCTTCCCAGAGGCCCCGTCCCGTGGACCCCTGTCAGCACACTGAGGTCTCCCTGGCTTCTTGTGGGCCCACAGCTCCTGGAGTGGATCCGACGCACTATCCCCTGGCTGGAGGACCGCGTGCCCCAAAAGACCATCCAGGAGATGCAACAGAAGCTAGAGGACTTCCGCGACTACCGGCGTGTCCACAAGCCGCCCAAGGTTCAGGAGAAGTGCCAGCTGGAGATCAACTTCAACACGCTGCAGACCAAGCTGCGCCTCAGTAACCGGCCCGCCTTCATGCCCTCTGAGGGCAGGATGGTCTCGGTGAGGACAGGGCCCAGGGTGGAGCTGGGCCCATTTCACCTTTCCTACTAGAACTTTCCTGCTAAAACGAGTGATGGCAAGTGGTTAGACTGCAGTCTGTGAGAGGCAGAAACGGGAGCTCAGAAGCCCAAGGCAGCCCTGTCCAATGTGACTGACAGCTCCTTCTGCGAGCCCCCAGGCCTCAGTACCCATGTGACAGGTGCAGTGTGGTGCCCTTAGTTAGTCACCATGTTTCCTGCTTCATCACTGTTCCCCCCCACCCCACCCCGATTTTTCATCGCCCCAGGCAGAAACCCAGCGCCCCTTACTCCCACCACCCAGCCCCTGGTAACCGATTGAGTAGCTTCTGCCTCTGTGCATTTGTCTATTCTGAGTATTTCACGGATGTGGGCTCCCACTGGTTTTGTCCTTCGGGGTCGCCTTGTTTTTCTCGGGTGCTGCTTTTCAGCTCAGCCATTCCTTCCATGGGTTGTTTATCCCTTCACCTGTGAGCAGACGCTGTTCAATGAGGGAGGCAGGTGGGCTGCAGGTGGCATTTTGTCTGTCACCCTCCCCTTCGATAGTTTTCACACCCTTTTTCCAAATCCCGTGACTGGAGTCTCATGTGGTCATTCGTCCACTCATTCAGTACACAGGAACGGATGTGCCTGCTGCATGCTTGGCCCCTTGTGAGTGACCGCTGCCCATGTCTGCGGCCTCTCCTTCAGCATCCCCCTGACAGCCCTTCCCTTTGCACTGCCTCCACAGGATGTCAACACCGGCTGGCAGCACCTGGAACAGGCCGAGAAGGGCTACGAGGAGTGGTTGCTGAATGAGATCCGCAGACTGGAGCGGCTCGACCACCTGGCCGAGAAGTTCCGGCAGAAGGCCTCCATCCACGAGGCCTGGACTGACGGTAGGCCACTGCTCTCCTGTACACACCCAGCAGCCCTGTGGACGGGGCCTGGTGATCGGGTCCCTTCTGCTTCGTGGGCATTTCCGCGGGAGTGGTACTGCCCAGTCCACTCCACCCCGCCTTCCTGACCTGGACAGGTGTATGGGCGCTCTGTGTCTGCTCCTCTCCCAACTTCCACTCTCTTGTGATTATGGACTTCTGAGGAGCCCATAGTGGACCGTCCTTGTCTTCTTAAGCACGTTTATTAAAATGCAAGGCCCAGAGCTCTGTCTCTAGCACCCTCAAGGGCACAGCCCCCTTCCAGAGTTGACTCTTAGGGACCCAGCCCCTCTGGAAGATGATTTCTCCCAAAAGGGCAACTCTACTTCTGTTTCTCGGAAGCTCTGCAGCTGCCTGTTCCCTTGGCTCGAGATGTAGAATTCCAGCACGTCCCTGGCCCTGGGTCTGGACCTACACCATGCTCAGATTCCAACTCTCGGGCCGGAAAGCCCTCCGAACACTGCGGGTGCCTGCAAAAGCCAAGCACAGCCCATAGGAATGAATCCCTCCCTCCTCCTCTGGCAGCCTTCTTCCCACCCCTCCCCCCAGAGCCTCCTGCAGCCCCTTCCCACCCAGCTATTTGGGCAGGCAGATCCCATGCTGGAACCCTCCCCACAACTCTGGCATAGTCTACAAACCTGGGCTACCTCACCCTCTGTCCCTGGCTGCAGCCCAGCTGCATGCTCTTCTCACAGCTCGATGGCTCAGGCCAGCTGTCCTCCAGCCGTAGCGGCCAGATCGAGCAGCCCCTTATCCCGCCAGTGCCCAGGAGAGAGAAGGCAGGCTTCAGGGAAAGGGGAGCTCTTCGCTTTAGCCCTCTCCTGAAGGAGGGCTCAGTCAGTCAGCAGACACCTGTGAGCCCCTTGGTGCACGGTAGTTTCCCCAGTAGGGAAGGGCCCTGGCTGAGAGCTCACAATCCATCAGAGTATAAAGGACTCTCAGCTTGCACTCGGCCTGCCACCTCCTTTCCTTATCCACGAGGCACATTTACATCCCCAATGCCTCTTAGCATTATCCTTGTGGATTTCCCTTCTGGCCCATCATGGCCCATGCTTTCAGGAGGCCCTGGGAAGTGGGGACCACCCCCAGGGCTGGCCTTCACCTGAAGGCATGTGAAGTCAGGTCAGTCTTGGGCCAAGGCTTAGTGGCCTCGTGTGCCCCTGGCCCACCTCTTCCTGGTCTGGCATCTGCCTCCTCCAGGTCTCTGGTGTCTTGCCCCTCAGATCTGCATGAGTCCCCCAGGCAGGCCTGCACACTCTCTGACCCAAGACCTGGAGCCTCTGTCTTCTGAGCCACCCATCTGTGCAGACCTGGGCCATGCGCTCCCTCCTGGCCCCTCTATACCCCTTGGGTCCTCAGCCCTGGGAGTTGGGGGCACAGAGGGCCAGCTTGACTTAAATCATATTCATTGTAGCCTGCCAGGGACCCATGAGGACCCTTTGAGGAACTTCGATTGTCTAAGGGGAAATAACAAACATAAAAGAAGCCCCCTTATCCCTGGCTGCCACTTAAGCTTAACCCAAGGCAGCTGTGGGCCATGTCCCACTCCTCCCAGCTCCTGGCCCACCCCGTCCGACTCCCTGACTGAAATTCTGCCGGGCCAGGGAGAGTAGTAATCTGCTATTTCTGGTTCCCACCCTGGGGAGAAAGCAATTTGGAGAGGGGAATTGCAAGCTTGCCTTTGTGGTTAAGCCTCCTGCCCTTGGGCTGGGGCGGCAGGGCCATTGGAGTCAGTCTCCTAGGCTGCCCACCTCTCACTTGCCAAGACTGGGCCCTGTCCCACAGGGTGGGTGGTGGTGCCAGACCAATGAGTCTGGGTGTGGCTGAGCTGTGGAGAGTGCTGGCTGCGTGCCCACCCTTCACGAGCAGCCCCACGCAGCATAGGTGCTGGTGCTCACCCCTTTCACAGACGAGGAAGAGGTCTGAGAGATGGGGTGCCCTGGCCGGACAGAGCTGAGAGGAGCCTCTCAGCGCAGCTTGCTTGGAGCAGGGTTCCATAAGAACTGGGGTCCCAGCAGCACCTTCATTTGCTTGTTGGTACTTAGTTGGGCTCTGAGTCTGGGCTCTGTAATTAGTCAGGCTCCAGGACTAATGACAGTGTTCTTCCCTGCCTTCAAAGGGCCTGGCAAATGGGCCCTGCCCCACATCACACAGAAAGCCCCTAGAGCGGGGCGTGGCACATACATGTGTGCTAGGACCCCCACCCGCCCTGCCGACAAGGTGCTTTTCCCTGACCCTCCTGAGGCCGGGCCTCCAGCTGCGTCTCCATCCACATCACCGTCTGCATCACTGATTCTGGCCATGGTACCATGGACCAGTTCTTGGGTTTTTTTCTCTATAAGGCTCACTGAATTTGGAACCTGAAGGTTGACTTGGGTATCCATCCCTGGTCTTCTTATCTCCAAAATGTCTCTCAGTTCCTTCTAAGCCATAGCTGGGCTTAGAGATTCCTGAGGGAAGGTAGGAGAAAGTTCCCAGGAAGGTGCCTTCTACAGCAAGGCAGGATATGGGGTCCTCCCACTACAGTTTGCCTTCAGCTGGATAGCCCCTGGGCTCTGGACTCTGGCAGCATTGCCCCCTGGCTGCTCTGGCCTGAGGGCACCGTGCACTTTGTCCTCTCCCCAGGGAAGGAAGCTATGCTAAAACACCGTGACTATGAGACAGCCACCCTGTCCGACATCAAAGCACTGATCCGCAAGCACGAGGCCTTCGAGAGTGACCTGGCTGCGCACCAGGACCGTGTGGAGCAGATTGCGGCTATCGCCCAGGAGCTAAAGTACGTGCTGGGGAGGGCGGCCCTGCTTCCTCCTGGCCCGGTCCCCACTTGTCTTAACCTGGCACAGTGATGAAACGGAAGATCCTGCTGGCTTGGGCTTTAGGGGTCCTTGGGGCTCCACTTCCCCTGCCTGCAGTTGAAACGAGCGGCCTGGCCCCACTGCCTTCCCTGGAGGAGCCGGCTGCACAGTGAGCCTGTTGTTCTGCCCAGCCCCTTCCCTCCCCGTGGCTCAGAATACACTTATTGTCAAAGCATCCAGGCAGCCGGTGTTTGCCCCTCCCTTCCCCACCCCAGTCAGATAAACTTGTGCACACAATTAGTACACTGGCTTTCCAGAGCTCGTGAATGGGGCCTCAGTCCACAGTGCAGCGGCCAGCAGCAGGGAGGGCCCTGGAGTGGGAGGCCTAGGCCATTACTTCATGGAAAGTCCATGAGCCCTGGAGGGGTGGCAGGGCTCCCAAAATAGCCGTCTGCTTAAAAATAGGCTCCTTAGCTAGACGCCCCCTTTCC